CTCTAGGTGATAGTTCTTGATTACTTTTTGATAAATAATTCGTTCTTATTGCGAAATAGGAGCACTATTTATCAATCTGTAATAAAAGACGTGAGCAAATTCTGTCTTTTTTAAAGACAAACATTTTTGAGGCGAAATACCCAAAAAGAAGTTTGTAAAAAATGATTCTCCAAATTTTCAAAAAACCTCAGAATTTTTAATCAAATCAACGTTTCTTTGCGGCATTAGCAGCTTTTTTCTGGGTCGAAAATTTTTGGCCTTCGGCTGCTCAACCAGCATTTTTGGCATTTTGCACCACTGTCCGGAGTGGACCCAGTCAGCCATTTGTCAAGATCGACTAAGGCAGTGGTTCCAAATGGCAAAACGTTGGCCAACAACAACGATTCGTGAGAAAGTTTGAGGATTTAGTTGATGACTGTGCAGAATTTACAGTTCAGCTGAAATAATCTTAGAGGTTTTACTGAATGCGCTTTTGCCAAACAAATCGACTGGGGAAATTGGCGGCTAAAGCTTTTGCAAATTTTGTTGCAAATTTTTTAATGATGAAGAGTAATTTTCTGGTGGTTATTTAATGTTTCAACAATCTGATTCGGGGTCAGAAAACTGTAAAAAATTTGCTTTTTGTAATTAGTGAGTGGTGAGAATGGTGATCCACCTTTTTATTGAGCATTGACCTCCCCTAACCAGGCGCGTGCTTAAAAATTTGCTATCGTTTTCAATTTCTGAGATATTTATTCTGACGAATGTAGTTTGTAGAACCTCCTGAGGAGGTTTACGATCAGTAGGGGTATATAGTGGTCTATAAGGGTGGAAAGCACTCACTAATCGCGTCCTAAAAAGACCCTGCATAATGAAAAACTTGTAGAGAAATTTCCACCTTCTCCAATGGACAACTTCCTCCCATCTAAAACCACCCTGTATGTTAAAAAAATCCAAGCCTTTAATCAATGTGTGGGCAAATTGGCACGCTTACCACAGTGGAAACTTACCAGTAGGCATTTCGAAAGTGAGGCCCAAAGACTCCAAATCGACGCCCTGCTGACCGAGCTGCTGCTGCAGCTGTTGAGCTGCAGAAGGACCCGGCCGTTGCCCCGTCGGTTGGGATTGAGCAGTTCGAGCTCCGACGACTGCACGCAACTCCTGCCTGACGAACTCCGAGGTGGGATTGGAGCCGGCCACACCTGCAGGCGAAAAATCCCATGAAGATTTTCCTGCGAAAACCATGCATTGGAGCCGGCCAAGCGCTGCAGCCAAAAGGTTAAATGAGACATAGAAAGCCAATGCCTGAAGCGGAACCCAAACCACTATTCGTCTACAGATCTACATGCTCTTACACATCGGTCTTCGATAATCCTGCGGGATCGCGGTTTGGATAGAGTCACTTTGGGCTGGGGTGGTGGTGGTGGTGGTGAAACGACCGTGCAAATGTGAAGCGTTTGAAGAATTTGGTGGACGGTGACGTGGAGGTGCAGGAAGCGTACCCGGTGATTTTTTTAGCACAAATAGATAGCATGATACATGATGGGGCGAAATGACGCGATTCGATAACAGAGAAGCGAAACACTTTTACGCGATCGATCGGAATGGATCGTGGTGCCTCAGAGGGAACCGCGAGATGATTACATGTTAGATACACAGACGTACGGGGTGCCGATGGTGGGATGGATGTTTACTGCAGAGTAGTGGTGAAACGTTGCGCCCAAACCGCTAAACTTCCATAAAACCCTTTAGTTTGAGATCAGGTTTCGCCCTGTATCCACTGGAGGTGCTTTACAGGGGCGCACATCTCAACCTAAAGGTTGCTTAATTCGCTTTTACTGTCCGGGCGCAATGTGGTAGCTTCGCTGCCCCACCCTGTATACTGGGTGTCGATTCCCAACCAAACACCTTTCAATCGTTTCTGAGTTTGTGAGTGTTGCCTCACTATGCTTTGAAACATTGGTAGAAATAATTGGATAATAATAAAAATTAGTGGGCATAATTGTCGATTCTTCGATTCTAAACGTCGGTTTCTGCAATTAACCCCAGTTTTAGAAAATTACTTTTTGTCTGAATTTGCAACGGTTTGTGCAGCAATGTGCCAGTTTGTCTCTCAAAAGTGACAAGAGCGTCAATTTGGTGGGAACAATTGAGTTTTAAGATTTGATAATCTTTGCTAATTTCGCGATTGAAACTTCTATTAGATCAGTTTTTATGTAAATAATTGTAACTAAGTCTCTTTGATTGGGACAAATGACGATTTAGAAGCAAAAATGTCCAGACTAGTGAGAATGTTTGAGGGTTCTGCAGTTCAAAACTCGTTACCGGCTTTTTCTTTAGTTAACTTCAATTTTAGAAACGACAAATTTAACGCGATAGAAGCGTCAATATTCGCATACAACCAGATCGAAAAAATCCCCAACTTGCAGCAGAAACAAATTTAATTTTAAGTGGGAATATTTGTGCATTCCACAGTTAAAATCGCCACTAAGAACTGAACCAAATCGCGGATGTTTCAAGTGTTCGTTGATCAAGTTTTTCGCGCAGAACAGTGAAAAGTGCGCCAATTTGGTGAGAAGAATTGTCACTAAGAGGTTACCTAAAGATAAAGTGTGAGAGCAATGAAAAAAATAATAAAAAAAATAATTCCCAACTGCCCAACCGCATCAGGCTAGTCAGTCCGCTCTAGTCCAAAAAATCGCCAACTTTGCAGTAAAAACGCATTTAATTTCAGATTAGTGGGAATATTAGCCCATTCCACAGTCAAAATTGCCACTAAAAACTGAATCAAATCGCAAATTTTTCAAGTGTTTGTTGATCAAGTTTTTCGCGCAGAACAGTGAAAAGTTCGCCAATTTGGTGGGAACAATTGTCACTAAGAGGTTACCTAAAGATAAAGAGTGAGAGCAATGAAAAAAATGATAAAAAAAATAATTTCCAACTGCCTAACCGCATCAGGCCAGTCAGTCCGCTCAAGCCCAAAAAATTCCCAACTTTGCAGTAAAAAACGCATTTAATTTTAGACTAGTGGGAATATTTGCCCATTCCACAGTCAAAATTGCCACTAAAAACTGAATCAAATCGCGAATTTTTCAAGTGTTTGTTGATCAAGTTTTTCGCGCAGAACAGTGAAAGGTGCGCCAATTTGGTGGGAACAATTGTCACTAAGAGGTTGCCTAAAGATAAATAGTGAGAGCAATGAAAAAAATGATGAAAAAAATTATTTCCAACTGCCCAACCGCATCAGGCCAGTCAGTCCGCTCAAGCCCAAAAAATCCCCAACTTTGCAGTAAAAAACGCATTTAATTTTAGATTAGTGGGAATATTTGAACATTCCACAGTTAAAATGGCCACTAAAAACTGAATCAAATCGCGAATTTTTCAAGTGTCCGTTGATCAAGTTTTTCGCGCAGAACAGTGAAAAGTGCGCCAATTTGGTGGGAACAATTGTCACTAAGAGGTTGCCTAAAGACAAATAGTGAGAGCAATTAAAAAAATGATGAAAAAAATAATTTCCAACTGCCCAACTGCATTAGGCCAGTCAGTCCGCTCGAGTCCAAAAAATCGCTAACTTTGCAGTAAAAAACGCATTTAATTTTAGATTAGTGGGAATATTTGCCCATTCCACAGTTAAAATCGCCACTAAGAACTGAACCAAATCGCGAATTTTTCAAGTGTTCGTTGACCAAGTTTTTCGCGCAGCACAGTGAAAAGTGCGCCAATTTGGTGGGAACAATTGTCACTAAGAGGTTACCTAAAGATAAAGAATGAGAGCAATGAAACAAATGATAGAAAAAACAATTTTCAACTGCCCAACCGCATCAGGCCAGTCAGTCCGCTCAAGCCCAAAAAAATCCCGAACTTTGCAGTAAAAAAGGCATTTAATTTTAGATTAGTGGGAATATTTGCCGATTCCACAGTTAAAATGGCCACTAAAAACTGAATCAAATCGCGAATTTTTCAAGTGTTCGTTGATCAAGTTTTTCGCGCAGAACAGTGAAAAGTGCGCCAATTTGGTAGGAACAATTGTTACTAAGAGGTTATCTAAAGATAAATAGTGAGAGCAAAAAAAAATTATTTCCAACTGCCCAACCGCATCAGGCCAGTCACTCCGCTCGAGTCCAAAAAATCCCCAACTTTGCAGTAAAAAAGGCATTTAATTTTAGATTAGTGGGAATATTTGCCCATTCCACAGTTAAAATGGCCAATAAAAACTGAATCAAATCGCGAATTTTTCAAGTGTCCGTTGATCAAATTTTTTGCGCAGAACAGTGGAAAGTGAGCCAATTTGGTGAAACTAAAACTTACTAAAAGATAAGTAGTGAGACAAACACGGCAAGCAACTGAACCAATGAAAAGTGTTTGTGTTCTGAAACGTGTTACGTTGCGTTCTCCCTGAGAACGAGAGCGATCGATCGTGAACATGAAACGAGCACATCGAACGGTGGGAAACGTGCCCGACAAACATGGATGACTGACTTACCGGACTGCATGTGCTGCGCAGAGGGCGCGCTGGCCCTGCGCTCGTAACCGGCCAAGTTTGACTGCTGCTGCTGCGCCTCGTAACAGTTATACGAGTCCTGCTGGGTGGGCGGCTGCGCGTACATCAGAGGGTTTTGCGGAATGGATTGGAGAGGATTGGGGGGATAGTGTTTATTGCCGGGATATTGTCCTGGAACACACGCATCTGCGCTTAGATCGAAAGCCACTTGAACCCGACCCGTATGATTTGTTGCCGTACTTTTTGCCCTTGCAGTTTCCTCAATGACTTCCACTCACTCTCACCACACCGTTTTGTTCGGGTGGGCGTATTCAGCTAGCACACGCATCCATGTATGGCTAAAACTACCAATCCAAGACCTCAACCGAACCACTGGCTCCCTAATTATCTACTCAAGACTTCAGACTACTGAATTGTTATGCTGCGAGTGGAAACAGACTATAATATGAAAACCACATGCCAATCAGTATGTACAGGCGGCGCGCCCAACAGACTTAACGGGAAAAGTCATTTTAATCTGCGCCTGTCGGGCGCACGCAAACTGCGCCCCGGTGTGGAGACAAAAGAAGAAATCATTGAGGAGACCACAAGACTGAGATAGATAGAGCGATAAAGAGAAACTAACATGCATCAAAAAGTATCGTTTGCAAACCACAAAGGCATCTATAATACGTCTACAATTTACATTTGATCAGTCTCAATGACATGCTTGGAAAACTTTAGAAAAAGAGATTTTTCGAATTTTTTAAAACTTATTCACATTCGGGCGAGGCGAACTGAATAATTCCACTGGCACCGATTGCAAAGACATATACCTGTCATCGGCGAACTGGTAGTCGGCACACTGTTAGCCCTTTGCAATCTCTGTAAGAACTGCGTCTGGTTGAAGGCGGTGGTCGGAGACGTGGGCTGGTTGAACTGGTCACCTCCATACGATTGACGTGCCACGCCCGGCACGCCCACCGGGCTACTCAGCGTGCGTTGCGGCTGCGCCTGTTGTCCGGGCGGCCTTTGGAAGTTGCCTCGGCCTGTCAACGCTCCCTAAAACAAGCATGCGTTCATCAAGCTAATCTAGTGCGTGATAGAAGTGGAAATTGTTTCGCCTTGAAGTCATCTTCAGTTAATTGTCAAGAAACGTTCTAAAAGCTCGTCCACACGATGACATCTAATGTCGTGACAGTAGCCAGTGCACGCTGACGTATGACAAACCATTTTGATAGGTGACACAAACGTCACGAGACTGTGGCATTTAACTGTTGCTCAATGACATTGTTGCAGCATTCACGTCAGGACATTAGATGTCACCGGGTGCACGAGCTTTAAGTTGCGTTTGGATTGTGCTGCCAGGGTTTCACCCTTTTTGCTCAGAAGTTTGTAAAACTAGCGAGGTTTTTTGTATCAATTCTATAAGTGAACAAAGTTTCGATTTTCAGTCAACATCGGACATTTTTCCAGGTTTTTTGAAGTTGTTTTGCAGGGTAGAGTTTGGCATTTGTCCCTTCCGGAAGTAATGAAGAGAAATAGTTGATTTTTATGTATTGTGTACAACGAAATCTGTTCTACAACTGCCGAAAGTTTTGATTTTTAGTCATCGTCAGGAAATTACCCGGTATAAAGTTAGAGAGTCACTTTGGTTTGAAGTTTGTAGATGATAGTCTGCTCGCTCTTAGCAAGTAAAAAGGTTTAGAGTGCGAATCACTTTCAAGAAATTTGGGGGATTTTTTTTCAAATTTAGTGTGCGGTTGACTGCTTATTCTGGCCAGGGTCTGACAGTTATTTCTCGAGAGAAGAAAAGAAAAAAGTGTAGCTCGAAAATAAAGATTTTTTTAAAATTTTACTGGGCAAAGTCTCAAGCAATGCGCGAATGACAAGCAATCACGTGCAACGTAGACGCTCGCAAACAATTGTTGCAATCAAAACTTATCTGAAATGTACGGTTTTCCATACACTTTTGAGCGAAATAAAACTGGAAGGGCGACTAATTAATAAAATTGAAAATTTAGCAAAATTGTTGAGATAATGGAATAAAGTCGAAACCTTCAGAAAGTCGCTATGTAAGTACACAAAGGTTATGAAAACAAGCACAACGCTTTGCAATCGCTCGCAAGCAGTGCGATTGCTGCAATCAAGGCTGGTTTGAACTAGAAGATGAAGATGGCTTCGAATCGCGCGTTAGCGAACAGAACGAATGTTGAAATGTTCTTACTGTACAAAATATGCTATCATTAAAGAAGGTTATGATATAATCTAGTGCGTGATAGAAGTGGAAAACGTTTCCCCTTGATGTCATCTTCAGTTAATTGTCAAGAAACTTTCTAAAAGCTCGTCCACACGATGACATCTAATGCCGTGACAGTAGCCAGTGCACGCTGACGTATGTCAAACCATTTTGATAGGTGACACAAACGTCACGAGACTGTGGCATTTAACTGTTGCTCAATGACATTGTTGCAGCATTCACGTCAGGACATTAGATGTCACCGGGTGCACGAGCTTTAAGTTGCGTTTTGATTGTGCTGCCAGGGTTTCACCCTTTTTGCTCAGAAGTTTGTAAAACTAGCGAGGTTTTTTGTATCAACTCTATAAGTGAACAAAGTTTCGATTTTCAGTCAACATCGGGCATTTTTTCAGATTTGTTGAGGTTGTTTTGCAAGGTAGAGTTTGGCATTTGTCCCTTCCGGAAGTAATGAAGAGAAATAGTTGATTTTTATGTATTGTGTACAACGAAATCTGTTCCACAACTGCCGAAAGTTTTGATTTTTAGTCATCGTCAGGAAATTACCCGGTATAAAGTTAGAGAGTCACTTTGGTTTGAAGTTTGTAGATGCTGGTCTGCTCGCTCTTAGGAAGTAAAAAGGTTTAGTGCGAATCACTTTCAAGAAATTTGGGGGAATTTTTCTCAAATTTAGTGTGCGGTTGATTGCTTATGCTGGCCCGGGTCTGACAGTTATTTCTCTAGAGAAGAAAAGAAAAAAGTGTAGCTCGAAAATGAAGATTTTTTTAAAATTTTACTGGGCAAAGTCTCAAGCAAATGCGCGAATGACAAGCAATCACCTGCAACGTAGACGCTCGCAAACAGAGCGAACTTAAACGAGCGATTTTGCAGTGAAATCCGGTATCAAATGAGCAGCTTTCGCATAAACGCTTGGGATATCAGATGAAGAAGATGAAACGAAAAGCCCTGAAAGTTCGCGAACGTTAACGAGCGATTGTTGCAATTAAACGGTCTTATAGAGTTCCAGCAATAATGTGAGCGAGCACTGGGCGCCCGCGAACAGAGCGAACGTATGCAAACAATTGTTGCAATCAGACTTATCTGAAATGTACGATTTTCCATACACTTTGGAGCCAAATAAAACTGGAAGAGCGACTAATTAAAATTGAAAATTTAGCAAAATTGCTGAGATAATGGAAGAAAGTCGCTATAGAAGTACACAAAGGATATGTAAACAAGCAGAAAGCTTTGCAATCGCTCGCAAGCAGAGCGATTGCTGCAATCAAGGCTGGTTTGAACTAGAAGATGAACATGACTTCGAAGCGCGCGTTCGCGAACAGAACGAATGTTGAAATGTTCTTACTGTACAAAATATGCTATCATTAAACAATGTTATGATATAATCTAGTGCGTGATAGAAGTGGAAAACGTTTCCCCTTGAAGTCATCTTCAGTTAATTGTCAAGAAACTTTCTAAAAGCTCGTTTACACAATGATATCTTATGTCGTGACAGTAGCCAGTGCACGCTGACGTATGCCAAACCATTTTGATAGGTGACACTAACGTCATGAGACTGTGACAATTAACTGTTGCTCAATGGCATGGTTGTAGCATTCACGTCACGACATTAGACGTCACCGCAAACAGAGCGAACTTAAACGAGCGATTTTGCAGTAAAAACCGGTTTGAATTGAGCAGCTTTCGCATAAACGCTTGGGATATCAAATGAAGAAGATGAAACTAAAAGCCATGAAAGTTCGCGAACGTTAACGAGCGATTGTTGCAATCAAAACTGATCTGAAATGTCCGGTTTTCCATACACTTTTGAGCTAAATAAACTGGTTTGAACTTGAAGATAAAGACGGCGCGCGTTCGCGAACAGAACGAATGTTGAAATGTACTTACCGTCAGTTGGGCGTTCAACATAGGATTCTGTACCGTCAATCGTTGCTGCGTGTTCCAATTGGGGGCTGCAGCCGCTCCATTCCCCTGCTGGGGGTAGTTTTGCCTTGGCGACAGTTGCGCGTTGAATTGCGCCTGCGGCGAACCGCGCTGTTGCTGCTGGTTGTAGTTGCTGGCAACGTTGTTTTGAGCTTGGAAATTCTGCTGTCCTAATGGTGAGGGCATTTGCGCGTGCGGCGAATAGGGCTGCTGTTGCTGCTGGTTTCCCTGATTTACCCCTCTTTGGTTCGTCTGGGAAAGCTGCGAAAGTGCAATTTTCATTAGTATAATCGATTTACATTCGTGTGAGTACGGCGGATTATTCAGCGAAATATTGGAAACGGTAAGCCGGAGGAGGATTAGTCCAGCACCTGGAGAAACTGCAATTTGTCCCATAGTTTCCCCAGGCTGATCCTCCGGCTTGTTTAGTAGATAAAACTGTCTGGGCCGTTAAAGCGGATTCAATTTATTAAAGCCGAGCGAAGATCAATTGCTCTAATTCGATAACGTGTTATTGCAAAGAGTTGAGCTCCAGTGACAATAGAAAAAAGTATTCAAACTTGTTGACTAAATTTAATGGAGCCTTTGTTCAAGTTCAAAATGTGCCCTAAAACCTTTGTCTTAGACGAATATGGAGGAAAACACTTACGGTATTTCCACCCTGCATCTGGTTGGAGTATCCTGGGGAAAGTTGCGCCTCAGGTACGCTATTGGATCGTTGCAGTGTCACGTTGGGGGCCACTGCAGTGTTCAGTAAATTGTCGATGTTCTGCATCGAATTGATCTCGGCCGATGTGGCGTTGGACGGAATTAGCAGCTGCTGTTGCTTCTGAAAGTACCGTTAAAATGAAGTATTTGCTTACTAAAAAAGTCTAACGCGCTCTTTTAAACGAGTAATTGGAACAAGGCCCGAAAATTTTGCTTTACAAAAAAAACAACGGATACTTTTTACTCAATTGCGCGATAGATTTCTTAAGCGCTTCGCTATTTACGCACTCGTTTCGAACTTATAAAGGATTTATGCATGTTTTGTGTTGTTTGCTATGAAAACGAGGTGAAGCGAAGTTGATCGAGCATCGTTTTTCACATTGTTCCAAATGGAACTGCGCACTGATTCAGGAAAAGCAAAGTATGACATTTTTAAATTTCGAAAAAATTTACCGATACTTTTGACTCAAATGCGCCATAGGTTTCTCAAGCGCTGCGCTTAGCTATGAAGGATTTATGGAAGTTTTCTGAATTTTTTACACGGATCGGAGAGCATTTTTAACATCGATCCTATTGGAACTGCGAAGTCGGTTCAAAAAATTAATTTAACGCGATAACTGTTGCTAAAGTGCACGATAGTAATTTTTCATGCGCTTCGCTGCGCTTCAATGCTCCTAAGCCTTTAAAAAATTATTGTTATCTTATGGAAAAGTAGTGAATTTCAATGAACGAAGTGGTCGAAAGCGGCACATTCACAAAAAGCTTCACCCAAAAAAAGTACGGCGACAGTTAAACGCGCACGTGAGCCCCTGAGGCTATGAAAACTACCCAAATTTATTGGAACTGATGGAAGTAATTTTGAGAATTTTTTTTAAAATCGTCTAAAACCGCCTTTTAATAATATCTGGTCCACCATGGATAAGTCTTTTCGAATCGCCAGGAAGAAACGCTCAAGCTTGCAACCCCGAAATATAAAGGAAAATCAGTAAAAGACGCATATTTAGGTTTGGAAACCTAAATAGGCGTCTTTTACTGATTTTCCTTTATATTTCGGGGTTGCAAGCTTGAGCGTTTCTTCCTGGCGATTCGAAAAGACTTACCCATGTTGGACCAGATATTATATTATTTCGATCTATTGACCGAAAAACCCACAAACCTAAATAGGCGTCTTTTACTGATTATCATCACGGCTGCTAATTAACCCCAACTTAAATGAAAATCTTTAAAATTAATTTTGATCATTTTAACCTTGGTCAAAGTTTTTTTACATAAAACTGCACACTGACTCAGTGGACACGGCGCAAAAAAGCCACTCTTTGCGTTAGCAAAAATTCAGTTTACTATAAAATTAATCTGCGGGTTCGTCATAAAGTGCGACGCAGCGCTTAATAAGGGAAGCGTAGAACCATTTTACGCTTTTGGTTGCAAAGTGCCACCCTACGCACAAAAAGAGCAGCGCGCTGCGCGCTGATTTAAGAGTACAAAAACCATCTTTGAGATCAGAAACTTGGATTTTTTAGAAAGGAATTTCCTCGGATTTTACGCTTGTCGCTTCATAATAGATAGAGAAAAGAGGCGAAGCCTCAGAGCGCGACTTTAACACTGAGCAACCAAACCATACCTGCTGTTGTAACAGTCGATGCTTGTGCTCCTCGATTTGCTGGCGCCTCTTCAGCTGCTGCTGCTGCTGCTGCTCCAGCTGCATCTGGGTTTGAGCGTTGTAGTTGGCGTTGGAATAGTGCGGTGGCGCGCCGCTCCTCACTCCCATTGGTCGCTGGTATTTCACCTGAGGGTAGTTGGGCGGAGGCGGGTAGTTGAGATTGTTTTGAGTGGACACCTAAAAAAGCCCACCGTTAGAGTTGGGCCAATGTTCCCCAATTGGACTACAAACACGTACATTCGCATTGTATGAAGGAGGTCGGGCGGGCAAAGACACATTGGGCGACGGCACCGACTGTTCGCATTGCATCAAAATATCCTGAATGTTCTTGATGGCGGCCACTTCGTACTCTTTGGACTGTTGCGTCTCCACTGCGCCGTCCATCAGCAGGCCACTGTCCGGCACGAAGTCTAGGACAGTGTCCAGAATGTCCGAAAGATCGGGATCGGCCACGCCGTGGAAGTTGTTGTTCTCTCCCCATTGGTTCTCTGGTGTGGCCTGGGTTTGGTTGTACATTCCTGCAGGAGAAACTATGAGTTCAACTCCGAACCCCCGTTGTGAGACTTACCAGAAACAGGTCTCTGAAAGTTGTTGTTGTTGAGGTAGTTTGGTTGCTGTCGGGCGTTCATTCTGCCCGCATTATTATGCCGGTAGTTGGTCTGCGCCATTGTTCCGCCGATAAGTTTGGCCGGATCGCTGATCACTCGAGGCAGTTTTTCTTGAGGAGTGGCGGAAATCACACTGGCAGGAATAGGGGGTATCGATGGTGGCGTTGGAGTTGGATTTTCCAACAGCGACGCCAACATCTTGTTCTTTTGGTAGATTTCGCTTTTTTCCGAAGAACCCGTAGATGACACCTGAAACAATCCACTGTGCTTAGATGTTTGCACGAAAAGGTCTAGATGGATAGATACAGCTGAATGCAAACACAGTGGACGCCATGATAGTATTAATTGGAAAACATGGCAAATTGTAAATTTCAGAGTCTTTCCATCCCGAGCAACATCGACTGGAGTGAGCGAAAACCCATCAATCACTTGTAACATGCAATTTGGATTTTTACATTAGACTGATTGATGTGATGTGCAGTGGATCTTCGATCACGATACGATCTCATATTGTTAGGATGTTTCGCATCGCTTCATCATTTAAAGGAGGCAAATTGTTTATAAATATGCCTAATTGCCCCGTTAGTATAATTAGATGCTTTAATTATTGATCAATAAGGCTCACTATTGGATAGTTGGCACGCAAACTGAGTCGCATTTTAAATTAAATATAGGAATGTGCTCTATTGGGACAGGGTGTCCGTTGATGTTCCCATGCGCTTCATAATAATCTGAATGAGACGTTGGTTTGTAAAGAGAAGAGTTGTAAATATTTTCATTCATAGGAACATTTAGCAGCTGGACACTGAACAAGACAATTGTTTCCACCTAATTTGATTTTTTGTCATTTTGGGAGCAAAACTGTGGAGAAATGCTATTAATGGAAGATCGCATTACTTAGCGGCGATTGAAACCGAAAAGTTGGCAAATTTTTCCACTAAACCACAATTATTCCTACCAAATTGACGCTTTTAGCGCTTAAAATTTTTCGTTTTTTGAGCCTTGTAAGCCTCAATTCCCTCTAAACAAGAACAAGAAATTTGGCGATTTTTGCTTCTGAAAAGTCAATTGTCTCAACTAAAACCAACTTACATTGCCTGATGTGGATGAAAAATCGATACATATGCGAATTTTCCGTGCATATTTTTATCAAAAGTGCGCAGCGGCAATTATTTTAATTTTTGAGGATAATTTGGTAAAAATGCTAATGGCAAAATTGGCAAACATGCCCATTAATCCAGAAATATTTGTTTGTATTGTATGTGTGTATTTTCTTTGTATTTCATCTACATACCAACTTGTCCCAATTAAAGGTGACTTATTTACTTGAAGTGATTGAAAAATCGTAAAATCAAACGGTTTTCTCTGGATGTTTGGATAAAAAATACGGAAAAAACGTCGGTAGAGAATTACTCCGATCAAAACTGCAGCGAAATTAATCAACCTTATCAAATCCATCATAATTTTGAGCTCTAAAAGGTCTTTTTGTTTCAGAAAAACCAATGAATGAGCGTTCAGACTGCGCAGCACATGCAGCCCGGTAAGTCAGTTATTCATGTTTATCGTGAAAGTTTCCAAGCGTTCGATTTGATGGTTTCATGTTCGAGATCGATTGTTGTCGTTTAAAAAACTCTCATGAAGACCACATTTGTTCCCACTAAATTGACGTCCTTTCAAAAATGGACAGTTATTTGGGAATTCGCTCAATTTGCTAATGAAAACGGGAAATATTTAGGTACAGTTTCACTTACTGGCGGTTTTTAGGGTCAAATGGTCAAACATTCCCACTAAACTATTTATTGCATTTTTGCTGCAAAGTTGGGAAAATTTTAAGCTATAAGTAGCACAAATTGGTATCGGGGGCTCAGTAAATAATGCACTTTTATAGGAACATTTAGCGGTTAGACACTGAACAAGGCAATTGTTGCCACCAAATTGCCATTTTTCCAAGTTTTTAAAGAAAAACTTAATAAAAATGCAACTGATTGCAGAAAGAGCTATTTAACGACGTTTTAAACGAACAAATTGCCACTAAACTGCGCTTGTTTGCACTACTTGGTAGGACATTTTGAACCATCTGAACCAAATCAGATAAAATTGTAGTATGTGGGTAAAAAATTAAGAATTATGGCGATTTCCACTGGAAATTTGCACTCAAAACGGGAAAAAATATTAATTAGATAAATAGTCGTCTTAGACGTTTTTTATCTTTTGAAAAATAAATTTGTTACTGCTTGATTGTTACTCCAATTCGTGAGCAAAAAAGACACAGAAAGACCAAAAAACGCAATTCAATTCAATTATAAACTGAAGTAAAAAAAAATTAAATTTCCTGAAACTTCAACATTATTTAGTTCGCTAAAAAATGTTCTTAACTATGGAGTTTTCAAGTTTCAAGCATGGAAAAACGAAAAAAAGCCAACATTTCCAGCTTAGCGACGTTTGCCATTGACAAACTGCATTATTTAAAAAACAGATTTAATAGAAGTTTGATTCGCTCGAAGTTAGCAAATATTCACACTAAACCAAAACAGTTTCACTTGATTCCAAAAAATTGAAAGGGATCTAAACTAGAACCAATTTGTTCATGTTTTGAACAGTTTGAGGGCTAAATGGATCAATTATTCCCACCAAATACACAATTTATAATTTTTGCTAGCTGAACTCGCCTAACTGCTGTCTGAGTTGAAAAATGGACCAACATTCCTACTAAACTAGAAAGATGCGCGATTTTTGCACATAAATCGTAAATTAACTCAACTCAAACCGAAGTATTTGGCTGCTACCGATGAAAAATAAAAAATTACGTCGATTTTTTCTGGAATTTTAAATTTGAAATGCGGAAAATGCCGAAAGTACCAGAAATTCACTTAATTGTAATTGCAACAGGGAGATTGGCAAATATTCCCACTAAACCACAAACTATGAAAATATCTAAACTAGTTCCCAAGTAAATTATCGCTCTGCGCATGTGCGAGTCAAACTGGCACATTAAACAGTCTAAATTTTCAATTGCAACATGAACAAACATTCCCACTAAACTAGAAAGGTTTGCGATTTTTGCTTCTAAATCGTCAATTATCTCAACTAAAACCAACATAGTTGCCTGAGAAGGTTGAAAAATTAAAAAATATATTATTTTTCGGGATATTTAGATGAAACATACGCCAGAAACTTCCAAAAACAGCTTTGATTGTATTTGTTTCACCAAATTAATTCGAAAAATAACTCAATCATTCCCACTAAACCAAAAAAACCATTGTTGAAGGAACGAAAGACAAACAAAAACAATTATTTTTGTTCTTGTTGAAAAATTGAAGCTGACTGCTTCTTCAGGCACACACGAAACTGACTCAGCTGGACATTAAGTAGCTAAGCACTAGGTACAGCCATCGGGCAGTGATGCCAGTCACGAGAAAATATCGCTACTTCCCTAGATAAATTCGTACAGCAAACCCTATTTTAATCCCGCCCTCTTATTACTTTTAGAGATTTTCTACTTTGGTGGTAGTTTGGCGACGCTGGCTATTACTACTCAACCCAATGCAGATAATTTTTTTTTCTTAAGCCCGTGTCCCATGCATTCGTTTATACGATGGTGCGAAAGTGTTTCTATTGGTTGGGGATCTGTCAGTTCGACGGACGATTTGACAGATCTCCAACCAATAGAAACACTTTCGTACCATCGTATAAACGGACGCATGGCACGCGCGCTTTAACCGTCCACACCAGTCCGGGATGATTGCGCTTGCGCGTCTGTTGCCATGTTGCCGCTATGCACAAACTTGGTATTTAAACGCCTGGCATTGCCGGAAAACCGTGTTTAATTAATAACGGAGGTTATAATTTTGTACGCAATGGAAGTGTCTCTGATGGAAGTATCAAGCCGGCAACGCGGCAATGAGACGCGCAAGCGCAGTCAGCCAGGACTGGTGTGGGCGATTAAGAAAAAAATATATGCTAACGCAATAGTCCCAGACTATTACTACTTAACTTAGGTTACATTTTGATAGTTTTAGGAGTTTTTTCAGTAAAAAAAGATCATTATTTAAATTATTTTACTCTGGGTGGAAAGCAGCCCTCATTGCACGCCCATGAGATTCGGTGCAAAATAATGTCGCCGACCGAAACTTTGCGAATTCACACATTCGACAGAAACTTGCTAGTTGCTAAACTTGCCCTGGAACCTTAGGTTTTGATGCCACCATTGATGATTTTCATGGAATTTTTCAAATTTTGCTGCTTCATTAAAAAACTGTGATCGATTCAGAGGCGTGTTCTATTAGAAGACAACAACACGTGAAACCGGCGGATTCCCATATGCGGACGAAAAGGGTTGACTCAACATGCCGTGGAAGTTTCGATTTCCAGTGATCTTCGTGAAGATTGCATTCAAGAAAATATACAAAACATGCGAAACTTACACAAAAGAAAATGTTCGGGTTAGGATGCATCGTTTGCAGCGTATTTCTCACTGCACTACCGGGTAAAGTTCTATATGGACCGACACGTTCTTTCACACGTGTTCTCACACGCGAGACTTTGCCCTTACCCATGATCGCTCATTCAGATCGCAAGACAACGAGTGCTGATCACAGATACAGACTGATACTGGAACAACTGGTGCTGACGACTCGCGAGCTGCGAATGTAGCAAAAGACACCAGTCTTCATCGAATGCCCTCCAAGGGTTGCGAGAGACGACAGTGTTGCCACTCACTCCAAACTACCACCACGTTTCTACTTAGGGTTTGTTGCATTTGACTAGCAAGTTTCGGTTTGGTATAAGGGAGTTTTCTACAAATTTTGCACGTTGATGCCCCGTTTCTGGTAGGTTCGATAACTATCGGTCCGCTAAAGTTGTAGGTTCTACAACTTATGGTAGGTTTCTGAACGTGTCTTATATACGTCAAAGCTAGTGGTCCATAGCTATCGAGTCGATAAAGTAGGTAAAGCTTGATAATCTGTGGCAAAAGCCATATAACGAAGAAGAAGAGACTGGTTAGAGTGACTTGCTTTGCCTCGTGTTATCAGTCTGTGGTGTTATCCATTTGCTTAATGCAAAACATTTTTTTATTATGCAATACATAGATGGATATAAAATATATTACAGCCAACTCTAACAAACCAAATTAAAAGATTTACATGTTAAGTAAAAAATCTTATTACTGCTCTTCGGACTGCGGGACCACCTTCATTTTCCTCTTCAAAAATATCATTTACTTCCGCGTTGCAGTTTATTTCTTCAAAGTCTTCAACATCATTCCTCCTAATGGCTATGTTGTGAAGCACTGCAGTAGCTACTAATATCGGTCATGTCAGTTCTCAAACCTCTTGCAAGGCATGAAAACCGTCTCTTCCAGACACCAACCGTTCGTTCAACCGTATTTTTAGTTGCTATATGTGCAGCGTTGTATTGAATTTCTTGTGGTAACATAGGATTTAAGAGGAGAGTTAATAAATAATCCGTGCAGGGATAAGCACTGTCACCTAGTAAATACGAATTTTTAAACATTCCTTGTTCCAATTGGGCAGAAATGAGTGATGCATTAAACATTTTTTTATTCGAATGAATCAAAAAGTGCCATTTTGCGAACAGAAGCGATGATC